ATATTACTAAGGACTAAATATAGAAGTACTTGATTGTATGAATGAGTTTCTATTAATAAGTTGATTACAAAATGTTGGTATAAATTAATAAAGTATGGATTAGGAAGTGATGGTATGGTTACATGAAAACCGTATAAGAGAAAAAGGGAATAGGGTAAAGACAAAAGGTAAAAAAAGAAGTTTTATAAGAGAGTAAATATTGAATTTAGTTGTAGTTTAGTCAATATTGGGTCAAAAATCTTCGTTTAGAGCTTGTTTTGACTAAGTAAGTGTATACTACAACTTTAATTAAGAGTATATGACAAGTTAAGACAGTAAAAACTGCAGAATAGCTAAAAGTTATCAACTGAAGGCCAAAGGCTGTCAGTACGATTTCTCGATGAGTTTGAAATATAAAGACTTAATATTTGCAAACTATATGTAAAATGATGTGCTAAACAAGTTTACTTAGAAGCCTAAGATAGGTTTCCTTAATAAAATAAAAGTTATAAGTATTTTTTGACAGACGAATTTTTAGTTAATTTTTGTGCAATAGATTTGCAGAAAGAGTTCCTTACCAATATAATTATCAGAAAAGCCAGAAGACATAATCAATTAGATTACTCTATCTCCATTACATACTGGACAATCCAATTTGATACTTCACAAACAGCATTATATCCTCATTCAGACTACATCTGCAAACAATGTACAGGATGCCCTTTGAACTCTGAACATATACAAAATAAATATACATTTGATATTATAGCTAGTCTTGTAACCAAATTTTTGAGAAGAACTGTCTATACAAACTCATCAAAAAAACTCAATCTACATTCTAACCTACTGAACCTACTTCACTCAATTGCATTAAGACACCTTATTACAATACTAATACTTCCTACAATTACAATTTAGAATAATCCAATACTTGAATTATTTAATAACAACTATTCTACACAAACATTGCAACAAATTATACAACAAAATACTAATTACTCACAACTAATCTTCTATACTGATGGATCAGTAATACATATTACATCTGAACAATGTAAAATAGGAATTGGCTGGGTCCAAGTTCAAAATAATATAACTATACAAAGCTATTTAGCAGAAATTAAGCTTTGGCTTTTCTCATACAAAGCTAAACTTATTGCTATTTTATTAGCAATTAGCACCTGTCCTAGATATAGTCAGGTTACAATATTCACAAACCCCTAATTAATAATATCTAAATACAACAAACTTTTGAAATTACTACTAACACCAAACAAACAATATTTCTATAACTATTGGCCAATATGGCATATCTTATTAAATCTAACTAAAAATTACCAAATCAAAGTCAACTTTCAAAAAGTAGTTGCACATAGCAACAATATCTTCAACAACATAGCAGATGAACTAACAAAAAACTGAAATCATTTACACATACTAGAATTTATACATAACAATATATACAACCTATCATACTATCTATAATACAACAACCTCACATTTGAATAACCAACTAGAAGATCTATTAAAAACATTTGCAATGCCCAAAACATTGCAATGTGGTCATCACAACATCATATAGAAAACATTATACTGATAGCTATACAAATTAATTAGAATGCAACATGGTCTTATCTCAACAACAATAACAAAAGATTATCACTATATACAAACTTCAAACTTTGTCATAACAAAGTCTTTAAAATCAAAATAATGCTAAACATACTACCAACACTATTACATTTTCACTCATTATATCCATTAACATTTATTAACAATAATTGCATTTTTTGTAATACACATGAAGAACCATAGTACTGATTAAACTGTCTTGACATACCAAATCTAAGCCATACTATTAACAATACTATATAACAATTCTTTAATTCTAGCAGATTAGAAACCACAACTACAGAACTACAAGAACTACATAGCAAACTGTTCAGTCACCAATGTCTAACCCCTAATAACTATACTTCAAATAGTACAAATATTTACACAACTTTACAAGAATATGTTCCTCAATTACTTATTTAAACAATTTGAGAATATACAAACTCTAACCAAATCGCAATTAATATTACTACCAAATTTTTAATGAAATTATCAGATATGATATACAACCAAATATGGAAATTATATTGTACAAAACTAGTCAATTGGAAACATCAACACAATATACTGACTTGACCTTCACACATACAAACAAATACACGTAATAATTCTAACAATACAAGAAGCATACACTATTCAAGATCACTATATACTTATAACTGTATTTGTAGTTCAGCAGATCAACAACATATAGGAGATGAACACAATATTTGCCTACTAACAGAAATGGCAGAAAAGAAAATATCTATTTGGATATCTGAATAGATCAAATATAGTACTCCAACTAGCAATATAATTAACTATCAAATTAGCAATACTTTAACTAACAAAATCTAGGTGAGATTTAACCACTCTAGTAGGTTTAGGTTGCAGATAAATTAGATTAAACTAGGTAGTTTTAATACATCTATAGTTTGAGTCTTATTCTTGTAAACAATTTGTAAACTTGATCTTTGGTCAAAGAAACCTCTTGTGGATTCTTAATACAAATTATAATAAAGATAAAGGCAAAACCTCATCTTAAAAAAAAAAAAATAAGTTGTTAATATCTCAAGTAATAAGTTGAGTATTTAAAATTAATCAAAAATAAAAATTTTAACAATTATTTATATAATATTTGTATTATAACAACTGTTTTTTAATAATTAAATTAGAATATCTGTAATTACAATTATTTTAATATAATTAACAGATCATAAAGTATTTGTGTAACTTAATATACAAAGGAATATAAATTGGCATTAGGCAGTACAAACTCTAGATAAGTTCTTGTAGTTATGTAAATTTATAAAAATTAAAAAACAAAAAGTTTATTTAGAAAAACCTAAGCAAAAAGATAACACAAATCTTTACAATACTACTATAAAGGTTAGCTTTATTAAATAAATACTAATATAAAAAAGCCAGATAAATAAAAACTTCTAAGCAAGAAGTACTATTAACCAGGCTGCTAAAAATGAATTAAAAAAAGAATATTAAGCTAATCTAATATACTAATAGACTAGTTATAGTTTTATTATTTAAATTAAAAGTCTAAGAACAATGTAAAAGTATATTAAAATATTTTAAATATGTTATAAAGTAGTATTGAAGTTTGAATAAATTCTATAAAAACATAGTAGTTTAATAGTTAATTCTAATTGTAAGTATTAGTTTTGTTATAGAGATATTAAATTAACTATAAAAAATAAGTACAAAAGACTCTAAGAAGTTTACTTTAAAGATAAAATAGTTTTAAGATTAAAATAATAATTTAAATATAACTTAATAATGTTAATACAAATTGCAGATTTAGAAGATTTAAAATAGAACATATAAGCAAAAAAGTTAGATATAGCAAGTAGTAAAAAACCTTTAAGCAGAGTTCTTAAATAAGTAATTTAAAAAAGTTATATATATAACTAATTGTACATTTTTTTTGTAATAGTTCCTTACAAAACACATTATCAAAAGCATTAATAAAAGTTAAAAGACTAAAGAAATTACCTTAATACCAAAATAATAAGAATAATAATAATCTACAATATTAGAATATTCAAAAAGGTTGGAGTTTTTTTAAAAAAAATTTTTTGTAAAAATTCAAAAATTTTTACAAGTGAGTTTTAAAGTATTTTTACTATAAATCTATTAACTTTAAACTAAATTTAAAATCTTATATATTAAACTAAAGATAAAAGTATACTGAATTTTTTTATTTTAAATGTTTATTATAGTTTATTTAGTAAATTTTAAAGTTTTTAATAAAAAAATAAGCTATTTAATTTGATTATATTTTTATAAAAAAGTCTTTTAAAGATACAAAAGTAAACTGCTTATATGTAAAATTTTATAAAAAAACAATTTTACTTAAACAATCAGAATATATTTACTTAATAAAAATTTGATTTTGTTTAGAAAAATTTGGTACAAGTAATTGTTAAAAAGAGTTAGTAATTTGCTTTAAATTTTATATTTTAATGATTGCTTTTTACTTTAAAGAATTGAAAAAAAATTACTTGCTAAATCAATTATACTAAAATTTTAATAAATATTATTATAATCTAATCATAATAAATTAATAAATCACATAATTTTTAAACTTTTTTAAATGTTAATTTTGTTACAATTATTATTTTTTACTCTAATTTAAACTGTATATGCTATAGTAAATTATTTTTTTAAATAATGCAAAAATTTTTTTAACAAGACAATATATTTTATTTTTCATTTTAGTTTTATGTATTTTAATTAAGCTTGCAATACTAATTCAATTCAAATTTAAATTTTCATCCAAATATATAAATTTTTTAATGTAATTACATGCCAATAAAATTTAATAATCTAAAAAGAAAAAAAATAATTATAAAAAAGCATTTATATAAGTTGATAACAAAAAAAACATTTTTTACAAATAAAATAAGAAATTATTAAATAATAATTAAAAATTTTATAACATAGAAAACATGTATTATAATTATTCAAAACATTATACAGAATAGGTATACCTAGTCCTTTTGATTTTCAGTATAAAATTAGCATTCGGATCTCTAGATTTTCTGCCTCAAAAGAAAAAAAATTCTCTTAAATAAAAAACCTATCATTGTAAACAATTTCCCTCAAATATACAATTAAATTAAATAAATTTTCTATGTCAATCCCGGTGTTACCCGACTGTAAATTAAACATTTTAACATCTTGGTCATAGGTATATACTATTTCAACCTGCCAACAAATAGGCCTGTCATCTTCAAGATAAACGCCTGTTAAAGTAAGAAATGATTAATAAATATATATTTAAAAAAAGACCTAAAAAGTTACCAGTAAAAACCATAGCATGTGTCATTAAACTTTGTGCATATTCCAACCTTTGTGCTTTTGTCATACAACATTTAATATTAAAACTTAAATCATAATCAATGATCCAGAATTCATAATGAAGAATCACTAGCCTTTCCAACATCAGCACCTAACCAAACTGGTTTTCCGGATCGTAAAGCTTGGATCGTTAGCTGTTTCATTGTTTCGATCAGAATGTTTACATAGCGGATCGGTATGCCCCCTTGAATGTTACCAAGATATTCAACTGTATAAAGATTGAAGTATGGATGACGAGGATCGTTTACAAGAAAGTTTCTGTTGCCTGATTAATGGCGATTAAAAAGTATATAAAAAATTTTTTAGAATAATGGGCAACCTTGAGTATTTTTATTAAATAATCGATTTATACTTTATAGTTGACAATCTCCCCATAAAATTGTTTCCAAAGAATTCATAATATTTTCCATCCTTGTCTCTAAAAGCCCAATCAAACACCTTTGGAGGTTTACCAAGAGAAATGGCTATAATGCGATAAACCTCTTCCATCATTTGAGCTTTTGCCAGAAACGTGCATTTCTCTCAATTGATAAGCGAATTCACGAAGCTTGGTCGTAACAACCCAATTGAGTCTACCTGAATTTGATGAGTTATAACTTTCAGGGCATACCTATAATTTAATATGATTTATATTGTCTGTGGTAAAATAATACTAAATACAAATCCTTCATATTTGTAGATTTAAGATACTTACACATTTGGGAACCACGCCGTATTTTTCCAGCAAATTAATTACCATATCCCATTGGCCACCATCACTAACCGGTGCATCAAACAAAAATTGAATTAAACGCGATTCAACAACAACTTCTACAAGCACGATCATGTTCTCGAGGAAAACTTTGAAAAAAGACATTAATATTTTTTGAATAGGAAAATGGGATATAAAATGTGACAGCTTATGCTGAAATTTGAGGACTCCATTAAAATATATAATATCTCTTTTTTTCAACAATTCTGACTCTATTCCTAACCTATCCCCCCAAAAAAGTCTATAAAAAAAGGCTCCCAAAAAAAGTTTAAACTTCATAATAAATTAGGTCAAAATTTCAGCATCAGCTTCAGCAGCCATAAATTACTTACAATTCGCTTTTTTAAGCTTGTCATAAAAGAACAAGAAAGACTGAGATAATTCAAAGCCTTCTAACTTGTACCTAATAAATTTTAATTAACTCATAATAATGTGAACTTTAATTGATAATACTTCTTCTGAAGGCATGCATGTTGAAAGTATACAGTTCAGGGTATGGGCGGCTTCAGCGACGATAACAGTGAAATCCTTGTGCACTTGCACACCTCTGACTTCAAACTCTAAAATAAAAAAGGCACATGCAAAATCGAATCGTGAAGATCCTTTTCCGCCTAATTTTGCGAAATCAGAACAAATCACTTGGCCCTTGTTAAATAGCCTATAAAGTACCGCAATGGCTTAAATGACAATGCCTTCTTTTACATTGTTCCATTAAGATGACACCCTTTCACTGTAATCGAAACAAAGAACTAGGACCCTCACGAAGGCAATCTAAAAGAAAGAGGTTTACCTGTTACTTAACAAATTATCACTACCTTAACTACTTTTGAAATCTTTGCTCTTCTGTAGTGATAAGTAAAAAGTCACTGTCTTGTTACATTTTTTTAGGTAATTTTGAAATGTCAACAAATTCTTATAGGAATTGAGAACAGTGTTTATTTTGAAATTGTTTACAAATTGATTTTTCACTTATATTCATATGAGCGGATCCAATCAAATTACTTGATTTTTTTTGAGTGCAATTTGATTGGTGCATTCATGTGAAGAATTAACACTGATGAACCTGATTTCGATTTCTTTAGGAGATTACTAAAGCCAATTGCATTTTGGGAATTAAGATTTATGCCTTTTCGACATGTTTTATTAGTGCTATGTAACAGACTTAGACACTTATTTCTCCGTTTTTCGTTTTTTTTTTCTTCAAAATATCATTACTTGATTAGCTGTTGGTCGTGTCTTTTGCAAGGTAATTACTTATTACGTAAAAAATCAAATCACATTACGCGACAATTTACTACGTAATAATATATGCAAACTAATAACATGCTAAATTATCGCATAATGTGTGGTTTAACTTTTTACGTAATAAGTAATTACCTTGCCCTAGCGTTGCCCAAAAAATCAGTTAACCACCCTAGCGTAGCCCAAATACTACAAAAAAATAAATTTTAGCTAAAAAGCATAATATACTTGATTATAAAAATTGAACAACCCAATTTCAACGACTAAACAAAGGCAATAACAAACATGATATTAACAGTGATACCAGAAAACATCGACAAAAACAGCACTAATATTAGTAACGATATAATACTTGACAAAACATTAATAGCAACTAATTTTTATTTGATTTACATTGCACGTAATAATTTTTTAATTTATTTTTAAAATTTAATTTAAAAAATTTTTATTATTTACTTTTAACGTTAATTTTAATGTTAAGTTTATTAATTTTATTAACTTTATTTATTAATGAATAATTTTTTAATTCATTTTTAAAAATTTACACTTAAAAAAACTTTTATTATTTATTTTTAACGTTGATTTTATTAACTTCATTGATTTTATTACTTTATAAATTTATTTATTAACTTTATTTATTAACGAATAATTTTTTAATTCATTATTAAAAATTTACACTTATTATTTATTTTTAACGTTAATTTTATTAACTTTATTAAGTTTATTACAATTGAAAACACATAATTATTAAATTTACATAAAAAAAAAAAAACTAAAACTAAACTAAATATTGAGATATTTAGTTTTAAAGAATATATCTCCTACTTATCCCAACCACCACAAAAAGGTATATCTCATTGGTTGGGAAGGTAAGCCCCAACCAATCTCTTACTTCACCAGTACTAGTCGTAGTTAACAGCAAAGACCATCAATGTTACACGTGTATTAAAACTGGTAAGGGATTATATCCATCACAATTGAATCCAACATAAATAATTTAATTTGCGATTGATCACAGACGAGAGGGATTCATTTTGGATCGGGCACTGTCTCTGCTGTAGTCGTAGTTCGGTTCCTGGTGAAGTGAGTAGGTTGTTCCCCTTGAATCATTAATACTTTCGTATTTCATCAAGATAGCTTTAACTCAATTTATACTCTAAAGTTCGAGTATACCCGTTTAAATATCCACATCCAAAGTATTTCCGTCCAAGTATTTATGTTCGTGTTTGAGTATTTCCATTTAAGTATTCATGTTCGTGTTTGTGTTTGTATTTCCGTCCAGGTTGTATTTCCGTTTAGGTTGTATTTCCGTTCTAGATTTTCTGTATTATGTGTTGTATATATATAATTTGAAAGTTAAAAGGAAAGTGATAAAAACAATAAAGTAGCAAGAAGAAAAAAAGACGTTCTTATATAGCTTTGTGATGTTTTTTTTTTGACGCGTAAAAATCGAATTAACGCGTAGTACATGTAATTACATAATTTTTTCACACAACAGATTCCCATTGTCGATTTCCTTAATTGAATATTAAGCAATCGTTCTCTACAAAATGGTCGGAATGAAATCTAGCACAACTGGTTTGGGTCCAGATTTGAATAAACACATGAATTACGTACAATTACGTACGTAATTACTATCGATATACCCTTATCCAAACAAGGCAATATATAGTGGTGCACTTTCGACACGTTTGCCAATATTCACAAATTATGACATCTTTCATCGGAGTTAATATTCATTTGACGAAACTATGACACCACCCTTCGCATATTCCGTAGCATATGTTAATGTATGACAATTGGTAATATACAGTCGGACTCAAAACTCGACACTGGAACGGGAGACAGTCATCAGAACATGACCGGAGTTGTGTGATGCGGAAGTTGGAAATAAAAATGGAAAGTTTACATCATTATCTTGTATTTCAATATGCTATCTCGTGAAACGTTGTATGAGTAGAGAGCAATGAACGAAGTAACGACCCTCTGAACAAATATTAGAACATATGTACATATATTATACTTCAAATTAGTGTTGGTCATTAATCATCATATATCGTTTTTTTCATACTGTTTATATAACATGGTGCATTTACACAGTAAGCCGTATTTCGTCATGGAGAGTACCCGGGTCTCTTACCACTGCATGGTGGTGGGTACACTATACAGGGTAAGTAATTATTAAAAGTACAATTACAAAGTTACGAAGTCTTTTTTTATATAATCTATTTCAAATTCATTATTTTTGATATATTCAATATTAAATATTGAATTTAAGCCGATCAGCTTTCCCAAAATATACTTTGAATTACGGTTAGAGTTGGGCATCTTTTTTGTTTATAATATACATACAAATCATATGGTTAAATTGTACCTAACTTTTTATACATATCTGATATCAGATATTAATACGTACTTCTACTAATGATTAATAATTGCCATTTGGGAAAACTCTGCATAAAATATACAAAGTTGAATCACTAAGACTCGAATCGGAACACTAAGTTCACGCGTGACTGAAGATCAGACGGTTTACTT